GAAGTTTTCATTCCACATTCAGTTTTGCCAAGATTTTAGCCTTTCTAAGTTCCCAGTTTACATTTTAAATTTTATTTTAATTTTATGTGCATGAATGTATTGTTTGCATGTATGTAAGTGCACCCATGTCATGTAGTGCCTACAGAGGTCAGAAGAGGGTGTCAGATTCCCCTGGAACTGGAGTTACAGATGGTTGTTAGCCACCATGTGGGTCCTGGGAATAAGCCTGCTGGGTCTTCTGCAGGAGCAGCCAGTGCTCTTAGCCACTGAGCCATCTCTCCAGCCCTAAAATACTGGTTTAAAACAGCCAGTGGATACTCAGGAAGATTGGCATTTAGTCTTCAGAAAATACTTATACACATATATATATAAATTCCAGTTTATAAGATCTGAGAGAGTCAGTCAATCATTTACTAGTAACTTAACAGTATATTGTTGATTTGTCACATTAAGGAGCAAAGCTCAGAAAGCTATACAGTTAAAATGCAGGGACTGGATATTCTGATTGGGAAGGAGGGAACTTGTGGGGTCTCTCCCTTTTCTCGTGGGTCATTGGCCACCAGTCCTCGACGACAAAGGGAGCAGAAGCAACAAACGGGGTCAGGGACGGCCAGTGAGCACTGACGGAAGAAAAGCCCTTCCAGGGAGGCAGGGTCAGTGACACAAACAGCTCCAGACTCAGTGAAACAGCACCATTTATTCAGTGGGGGTCAGGGAAAATAGAGTGTGGAGGCAGCAGCCAAAGCTTCAGCTGATAGGTGCTCATAGTATGCTTTATTTACATGTGGTAGGGGGATGCTATCACCCGACTATAGGGCAATGCCTAATTATCATGTAGAAAAAACCTGGGGGCAGTTTTATTGCAGGTAACTATGACAAAGGTCATGTTTCAAATGAGGCCAAGCATCCATGCTTGGCAACACTTTCCAGGTAAGTTAGGCAGGAAGCCCCTGCTGAGAAAGGAGCCAACCTTAACAGCAGGGTTCCCCAACAGGAACTCAGGTCAATGTTCATAAATTTGTCTACAAATGTTCTGTGTGCATGCTGTTAGAGCTCAGCACAGTAAGGAGGAAACATCCACTGTCAATTTATAGTCTTTTTTTCCTTTTTTATCAAACTTTTGTACATTTCATATAATATATTTTAACGATATTTAGACCTTATCTGTACCTTCCCTAGTCCTCCCCCACACACTGGATTTCATTCATTCTGTCATATATGTTAAGGCCTAATGAGTAAAGTTTGTGTTTCCAGATGTCCCTCGGTGTGAGTTCATCCACTGGAGCCAGGTCAACCCATCTAGTGTTACTCGCTTAAAGAAGACCAACCTCACCTAGAAGTGATTAGCTGCCAATAGTTCCTAGGCTAAGATTGGAGTTTCTTACCCATTTCCCAAGTTCTAGGCTGGGTTTTAATCTGGTTTGAGTTTGTGTGGGTCTTATTAATGCTGTTATCATTTCTACAAGTTCATATGAGCAAGTTCCCATGAGCTTGGAAAACTGTTTCCTTGTGATCACCCCCTACCCCTTTAGACTTTCCATCCCCTCTTCTAAAATGGTCCCTCAACTCTGGGTGGCAGGAGGTTAATATAAGAGTCCTATTAAGGAACACATACTCTGTAGTCTCTTATTTGCTACATTTTGGCCAGTTGTGACTTTCTGTGTTGATAACCATCTGTTACATGAGGAAGCTTCACTGGTGAGACTTGAGAGATGCATTGCTATTTTTTCTGGCCCTTGTTCCACTCCGTTCCCTGAGTCTTAGGTATAGAGGTTACATTGTAAGTATGTCATATAGGACTGGGCAGTTCATAGACACTTATTCTCTGTATTTGATCAGTTGTGGAATTCTCTAATAGTCTCCACCTGTTGCAAAAAGAAGCTTCTTTGATGCGTGATGAGAGGTATACTTGTCTGTATACACAAAGATACATATTTAGCATAAAATAAATTATGTTTGTCTAGGGATGTGATAGATGCAGATTTTTCTTTAGCGTCTATGACCTCTCCAGCCACATATATTTGACAGGGCTTACAGTTCCACACATGAGTTTCTAAACACTGAGTGGACTTTAAGTTCTATTACATAGCTGTCAATTGCCTCCAAAATAAAAGTGCCACTACTGCACCAATAGAGATAGTTTGCTGGACTGGTGACTGTTGTGGTTATCAGGCTTTACAGCTGTTGTTGAACCACTGATTAGTTTTCTCCCTTAGCAGCTTGCATAGTATCCTCTGATACTCTGAGACTAGTCTTCAGGGAAGAGGCTTCCAGATCAGTTCCAGCTCCATTGCTCTAAGTCTTATGCCCGAAGTATGTCCTGTCTTCAGTAATAGATTCTTACTTTCAAGTTCTGGGAGGCAACCGAAGGCTGTGGCAATAGCCTGTGTTATTTTGGGAGTCTCTTGGACTACCCTGACCAATAACTCAAAGGGAGGTTTCTCCTGTCTGACACTGTATTTCTTGTTATATAGACTTCAGTACACCTATACATAAACACACACATACACACACACACACACGCACACAGTAATAGATTCTTACTTTCAAGTTCTGGGAGGCAACCGAAGGCTGTGGCAATAGCCTGTGTTATTTTGGGAGTCTCTTGGACTACCCTGACCAATAACTCAAAGGGAGGTTTCTCCTGTCTGACACTGTATTTCTTGTTATATAGACTTCAGTACACCTATACATAAACACACACATACACACACACACACACACACACACACACGTATGTATGTATGCATGTGTAACATGTATTTTTGATAGGCTTTTGGACTAATACATTTCCATTTGGTTTTTCATACCACCTAAGCATTCTCCCCCAACGCCCCATATAATTCTCCCTATCCCTCTGCAGTCAAAGTTCCCCCATTTTCCCAGTTTCCCACTTGATAATACCTGTCTCCTATTTATTAACTCCTTCTCTTGAGCTTCTTTTTCTTCTTTACCCCCATAGTTCTTTGTAGAACCTACCCTTTTCCCTTCCCAATTAAATACTCCCATGTTCCCCATTTCCCTCTGACAAGATCTGTCTCCTACTGTCTCCCTCTTGGGCTTCTTCCTCCCCTATACCCCCATGATTCCATTTTCCTTACTCCTGAGGTTACATCAGGATATATACTCACATCCACAGATTGTAGCTAAGATCCAAAATTGAAAGAGAGCATGGATCACTTGTCTTTGAGCCTGTGTTACTTCACTTAGTATAAAAGTTTGTAGTTCTACCCATTTGCCCGCAAATTTCATGATTTTTTTCTTTACAGTTAATCGGAGCTCCATTGTGCATATGCACCAAACTTCCATTATCCAATCATCAGTTGAGTGACCTTTAGGTTCTTTCCATTTCTTAGCTATTGTGAAAAGAGCAGCAACAAACATGGCTGCACAAGTATCTCCGCAGTAGGGTATGGAGGTTGTGGTAAGGAGGACAGGCAGGTATTTATGATCCAAGGTAGTCTGTGGTACAGAGGGTAGAGGCAAGGCTGGAATCACTGGGTACCTAGAGTTGCCAGTCATCTGCAAGGCATTTTGGTGCCTCAGGGGAAAGTTGGGTGGAGGCAGTGAAGACCACATTTTCCAACTCTGCAGTTTTGCTTCTGCCTGGCTTTATTACTCAATATGCAAATCTGAGTTTTCTGATCTATATGTAAATCCACTGAGCCCTTTGCAGAATGTCATTACTGCTAACAAAACTATCAGTGTTTCCAAGGAGAGTACAGTACTACAGCATGATCCTAAAACAAACACCGACCTACAGTGGCAGGGCTCACACACATTAAGGACTACGTGATCACGTGCTGGAAGCCATGGGCACAATAGTTTATGGCTACGAGAACTTCGTTTCCTTCTCTTCTGCATGAAGATAATATGTGCTTTAAAGTTTGCTGTGAAGGTTAAATTAGATCCTTTTTGAGAGTGTTCTTAGATAATTATAAGGCTTCTACTATTGTTAATTTCCTCTGTCCTTTTCATGCTTTAAAGGGATGGAAATTTCCCATGTATTTTATTCTGTCTACTAAATATAATCATAAGTATTTTTAATAATAAAAAGCTTAAAATTTAAATTTCCAGAAAAATAAACATTGATTTAGGAAAGGAAAAAAGTGGGATTTTTTCACACTGACAAAATCAGAGAACTCATTTTAAAAAAATAGAAAGTAGGTATTCTATACTGTCAGAGTAAATTGTTTAGATCATAAAGGGAAGAATCATCTTATATGTTTCCTAAAAATTGTTTTTAGTTTCATGGCATACCTATTTCTGAAAGGTCTAATAATGTAGATGATATTTTAATTTATGGATTATTTTATTGCTTTTCAAAATCCTTTTTCTTGTTAAATTGTAGTTACTGAAAGGAAATTATTTGGCTTCCAAATTTTGTCATAATGTCAAACCTTGTCAATTTGGCAATTTGTATTTAGCAGTTTCTGAGTCGTGGTAAGGGATGAGGGGGCTGCGGCATTTCCAGATTTCAGAGGTCTGTCTAAAGTTGAGTAGGGGTTGTGTTAGGGTTGGGTAAGCTAGTCACAGCGTAATTTTGCTAAGTTCTCTTTCCTTGGAAAACACTAACTTCCTCTGCAAGGGCATTGTTGAGTTAATATAGGAACCTGGAAAAGAATCTTGACTCCCAGTGTTAATATGTAGTAGCAAAATGAAACATATGTCAGAAAATAAAATTGTAGTGTTGAGTACAAATAGTTTTTCATGTCATTTGTAAATGGAGACTCAGTTTCATATGGTAGACTGTAAGACATTATAATTCCTAAGGGCTGACTCCTGTCGATTCAAGTAGTAGGGTAATATATGTTTATGAAGACCCTACTAGATAGCAGTCACTCCTGTTTCCATTTATCCAGAACACTAACATAGTAGAAGGACGGGTCTCTTAGCTGATTTGGAATGTGGCATGCTGCTTATTCTAATGACGATTTTCTCTAAAATATCTGTTGCTTGGGCAAAAGTAGCCTCAAATTTAAAATAACAGCCTGGGTTTATAGTAGGTTATTTTTGGATTTCAGTTTCTGAAACCAAAATATGCCATGGAACAAACAAATTGAATAATGGGTCTAAAGCCTTCATTAATCATATCTGTGCTTAGTAAGTAGACTGATCTGGTTACCAGTCAATGGAATTTGGAGTGATATGTCAGGAAATCAGGCAAAATGGGAAAGCATCTACCTTGCTTAAACAGCAGTATTTCTGTGTGTCCTTCTCCATACTTAGGACCCACCATCTTCACACAGTTCACTGAGCAGTGGAGTAGCACTTTCCAAAGGGAGGCTCACGTTCCTTTATTTCCTGCAGATTTTGCTCTGTATTTTCTCCTGCCTTTCTCAGACCTGAGATGTTCAGCTTCTGTGGAAAATGTTGGGAATACAACAGTGACAACATGAACTTCTAAATCTTGAGGAATCGGGTTTTAAATGAGTTTGGGACTTCACAATGATTTCCCGGTTTTATTTCTATTTTCATTCCCGGGATTTCACTAATCGAGAGGCTGACTGGAAATGGCCTATGATGTGATTATTTTGAAAGCCACGTGGAGGGACACTGGTGCCTCAGGATGTTCATAAACATTTTACCTGAAAACTCAAGAGAAGTATGTTTAAAATACTGGTAATATAGTAAACACTTAATGGCCATATTTACTGAGTGTTTGCTATGTGCAAGACACTCCAATCTCTGCCCTTTGCGATGCTCCATTTCAGCAGCATCTTCTCTGCAGGTCCGGGATAAGGAGCCTCTTCATCCTGACCACAGAATTCAGTAGTGGATTGCGGGCTGTAGTTTCCTTTAACAGGAGTAAAATGTATCAGAAGGAAAGAAAAAAAAGTGAGAAAATGGGCCTGGAGAGATGGCTTAGTGGCTAAGAGCACTGGCTGTTCTTTCAGAAGACCAGGGTTCAAATCCCAGCAACTACATGGCAGCTAACAGCCATCCATAAGTCCAGTTCCAGGGAATCCTATGCTCTCTCTGTCCTCCACGAGCACTGCATGACATAGGTACACTTACACACATGCAGGCATACCACTCGTACACATAAAATAAAAATAAATCAAAAAAAATTTTTAAGGGAGAGAATGTGATAAGAGGAGCAAGATGGAGTGGTGGGGAGAGGGGTCCACAGCGTGCATAATTAGTGAGAAGAGTGCATTGGGAAGGCACCAGTAATCATTAGGAAGCACCGGGTGAGCCAGGCCTTTACCCCTGAAGTATGCTGTCCACTGTTACATTTCACACCATTTCAGAGGTAAGATTGCTTCACATGAGGGAACTGACATCACCAATTGCAGCTAGTACCCAGGGTCACAAAAGCATGATTTCTGATTGCCAGGGCGCATTGTAACTCATTATAACATCAATTGTGCTGACTATCAGTTGATAAATGCCAACGGCAGTCAATTGCAGAAGGAAATGACGCATGCTAAACATTTGGCTGTGAGGTGTCTTCAGTATCTCTGCTCCCCATAATCCAGAATTGAAACCAGTGGGACACAAAACTGCATTTTCTTCCCTGTGTGGAAAAGATTTAGTAGCCTCGCTGGGTCACAGCAGATGCTGGTGCTTAGGACACATCCAAATGGCAGAGGCTTAGCTGTTCCCTAATCATACACTGTCTTTTCTGTCTAACTCACACTCTCATTAAACATTCTTCTTGAAGAAGTTTCCTTTTTTCTTCAAAAAGCCTCTTTTGGTCTGTCTGACCTATTTATTTTGTGTGTGGGTGGTTTTTGTGACTCCTCCTGGCTCAAAAATTTAATGACTGAGTCTAAATTTTTGGCTGCGAGCATAATGGAAATCCTTACCAGAATGAAGCGCACCTGTTTTCCTCTCAGTCGTCCTGAATCTGCATATCTGTGGTTGTTCAGCTCTGTAGATTGTAACAGAATGAGTTTTTCAGTTTTTATTGTAGGTGCTAGTTAGCACACATGCCCTGCAGACCACAATATACTTTGAATCCAGGGAGGCAACCCGAAGGCTGAGCAAGGTCCTGAAGGACCAGACAACAGAGTGAGGGCCAAGTAGAGGGACAGAAGCAGTCCCGATAAAAGCGTCTCAGCTGTCAGCCTCCCTGATGGGCTCTACCTCTCAGTAGCAACTTCTTTACATATGAAAACAAGTGCGTGAATACATGGTGGATTCATCTGCAACTTTTCAAAGTGAAAACCTGACAGGTTTGGGCAAGTCCCAGAAAGCAGAATAAGCAAAATACCGTGGGGTGAGGTTTCCATAAGAGCCAAGTCACTGCCGTTCGACTTCCTGTCTCTTCAGCCCTGAAAAAAAAACAAAAACAAAAAAAACAAAAAACAAAAACACAGTTTACAATTTATTTCACAAACTGTTGTATAAAGCAACCTGTGTGTTCAGGGGTAGTGAGGCCCCTAACAATTTTGAGGAAAGTCTCTCAGAGAGAACAACTGCTCAGTGACCATTATGAGTGACTACACATCTCATGGCCAGTTACCCCACAGACAGAAAGGAAGCAAATGGGGGCATCCCTGCCCCTTAGGAGCCAGAGGAAAGGACCCAGAAACACATGAAAAAGCACAAATAAGGTAATAATGGAAACATGAGGAAATTCAGTAGTTCCTATTGTCCAGGCTTTTCTGTCCATGATCCCACGTATTAGTGGACCACAGTCAGAAAAATATTAAATGGAAGATTCCAGAAATAATTCAGAAGTTTTAAGTTGAGTGTTATTTTGAATAGTGTGATGAAATTTTACAGCATCTCACCCCAGTTCCCCTGGGATGTGAATCACTCCTTTTCCAGTACATCCATGTGGTATATATTACCTACCCATTAGTCACTTGGTAGCTGCTTGGGGTGTCAGAATGACTGCTGTGACAGTGCGTGCTTGTGCTCAAATAACTCTTATTTAGTAGCTCGATGCTACGACACAATGCTATGTCTTTATTTCATATCCTTTATAGGCACCATATTGTCTCGCAAGAAGGGTGGACTTAGTATCATATTTTAAGAGAGATGCTATGGTTATATAGTTTTACTAATGTGTGTTGTTAGTTATTCTATTTTATTAGCTATTATTATTAAATTTACCATGTTGAACTTAAAATTTAAACTTTATCATAAACATGTATGTGTGGGGAAAACA